TATTAATTACCTTAAGTTTTTTTGGATTTATTTAGATTTTACCTAGGGTAATAATATATTTTAGGAATATAACCTTTTGTATATAAAAGTTGTATTTCTTAGGTTCCACCAGGAGTTTATTATTTTAGAATATTTATAGTACCTTGTAACGATTCCATCAAACCGTTGAGCCAAACAGGGCAAAAGATTAGGCCAATAATCGCAATTGTAGCAATTACTGTAACGGAACCAGCTGCTTATAAGGGATCTACCTGTTACGGCGGACCAGATCGTAACATACCTTCTTAATGTATTCCTTGTGTTCTTCTAAGTTCTTAGAATAGATAAGGATATTATTAAAGTATATAATAATAAAATAATCTACGTAGTTTTATAATATATAGTTAATTATCTTTTAGAAAAATATTAAGGTATTTATAAGTCCGAAGGGTATTACCTAGTATTTATATAATCTATATTTTATACAGAAGGTAGTTTTTTATTTATTGCCTTTCTTAATCTAAATAAGGTTATATACTCCCTTAAGATTTAATAAAGTAAAGATTTTGGCTTCTGTAAGCTGGTCTCTGATTTCTAAAATCAGTAGTAACAGCATAATATCTTTTTTAGTTATTACATTTAATTATTAATAGTTTATAATAAGTCAAAGTTTACTATTCTTTTTAAGTATAAATATAACTAAATATCCTGCTAAGGATTTAAAAGGTTTAATATAGCCTTTTTTTAACTAATCCTTAATCTATTTATTAAGTATCTTAAGTTTAGTAGCGCTTAGGTTATAGATTTTATTAAACGTTAGTACCTTATTATCTATAAATTTAATTTTATAATCCTATTAGCTATATTTTAGTAGTCTAATATTAAGTTCTTTATTAAAGATTAGTATATACTAAAGGTTTATTAATACATTCTTTAGATATTCTAATATCTGCTAGTCTTAGTAGTATAATTCCTTAACCTTTTATATAATTAAATTAAGAAATCTAAGTTATTTTTTTTTTAGTTTCTTAACGTATTTAATTATTCTTAGGAGCTTCTTTAGCTCCTTAAATTATACTTATTTTATAACTTTTTTCTTTTTTATATATTTTTATATTTTTTTATTTAATATAGGGGTTACTAATCCTATCATTAGGGATATTATAGTATTTTATTAATCCTCCTAATTTAGTTATAGTTTTACTATAATATTAGTTAATTAGGTGTAATATTATTATATTACGTAGCCTTCCTCCTAATTAATATTAGGGTTATATAACTTAAGTTAGTTATATTTTAAAAGTATATTATATTTTATAATATTTATAATATTAAAACTAAATATATTTTTAATTTTACTAAACTAGATTTTAAGGTAATTAATTTTATAGTTAATAGTTCTATTATTATAAGTAAATTATTATTTCTTAATGTTTATAAGGGTATATAGTTTCTCTTTTTTACAATAGGTTAACTATAGGCGATTAACTAGTTAAAGCGTAATATAGCTTATTATAGCTCTAAAGTCTATATAGACTATAATTAGATGTTTTTCTAAAGTACCTAGTACTTGGAATTTTTATAGTTTCTTTCCTCCTGTAAGGGTATTTAGGTTATAATAGGTTATATTATTAGTGCTATTATAATAATTATTACCATAAGGGTTAATATTAATATCGTTTAGGTCTAAGGTAATTTATCCTAGTTCTTTATTTTAAATATTATAGTATTTATACTAGGTATATCTGGGTTTAGGTATGTGTTTAGTAGTAAGCTTATGGTATTTCTGGAGGTTGTTTTAACTAATTCCTTATAGCTTATTGTTATTACTGTACTTTATAAGGTTAAATCTTTATTATTTTAGGTTATAGGTAATATATATAAGGGCTTGGCGTTAGTACTAGTGTTTTTTATAATAGTCTTTATTACAGAGCGTGAATTCCTTTTATTTATATTCTGTAGCTCTGTAGTCCTTATGTTATTCTTAGAGTTTAAGTATAATATATTATTTATATAGTAGTAATTTATAGTTAATAATATTGGCTTTATTATATTAGTCTATAAGCAGGATGTTGTTAATAAAGTAAATAGCTAATTCTAATGCCTTAGCTATTAGGTATTCATCTACGTTAGTCTTAATATATTATTAAAACCGATTTCTAAGTAATTGGATTTAGTCGTAGGTAGTACTTAGATTAATCTATTTAATTTGTCCCTATTATTTAAGGAGTCTCTGTTAATCCTTAAGTTCTTTTTATTATATAATTTTATTATAGCGTTAGTTTTCTTTAATAATACCTTAGATTCTATGTTAATCTTTATATTATTCCTAGTCCGCTGTAGTTATTTTACAGGGGTAGTAGGGTTCTTTAGGTTCTACTAACCTATATTAGTTATATATACGTTTCTTAAGTTCTTCGATTTCTTCTTATGTTATTTCTTTATAAGGGTTATATTATAATAGTAGTGCTATATTTAAAAGATCTTTATTATATTATTATATTTTTATTTTATTCCTATTCTTAAAGTACCTCTTCTTTATCCTTAAATTTATTATTTTATTTTTATTTATTAAGGTTCCGTTAAATAAGTTATTTAATATAACTAAGGTTTTTTTAAGTAACTTTTTTAAGGGTATTTAAGGTTTATATATATCCCTTAGGGTATTATCCTAATCCTTATTTATTACTGTAATAAATCTAGTAGTTATTATTATAGTATATTAAGAAGTATAATATATTATAGTTTACCAAAGGTTTTATAGTATTAATAGTTTAGTTTTCTTTAGGTTCTAGGATAGGCGTAAATTTTTTATTTCTGTCCTTCTTAAGAGCTTGGTAATACTTTTTTACGTATTCTTTTTTTCTATAATTATAGTATTTAACGTTTTTGCATTATACTTTAATAGTACTAAGATCTATAGGTCCTAGTTATTTATTATTATATATAGTAAAATTCTTTTTCTTTCTCTAGTTAGCGTTATTTCTAAAGTAAAGGTATTTTAAGATTATTTTTTAAAGGTTTCCTTTTTACTTATATTTTTATTACTGTTAGAATTATTATTTATTAATATAAGTAGCTTTTTCTATAAGTATATTAAAAGTATTAGGTTTTTTATCTTTAAAGAGTTTATTCTTAATATTTAAATTAAGTTTTTAGTAGTAGAGTATATACTATATTTTATTATTTAGGTTAGTTCTAGTAGCTAGATATATAAAAGTAGTAGTATACTTTACGTAAGGTCCTTTTTATTTAATTTAAAAAAGTATATCCTCTACTTCTTTAGATTTATTAACTTTTTTATATAGTTTTTTAAGCTATTTTTTAAATATAGCGTAATTATTAAATAGGTTAAGTATATATTATTTCTTAGGAGTCTTAGTTTACTTATAGTCTCTAAGGTATAGTTTAAACTAGTTTTTGGTAGTTTTAGTTAAATAGCTTCCTATAGTTTAAATTTTTATAATATTATTAGCTATAGTAGTTAGGAAGTAGCTAAAGTAGTTTCGCATATTAGTAAAGAACTTCTGGATCTGCTTAGGGTTTTCTTTAAACTTGTTTAGTAGTATTAGTTTAATGATTTCTCCAGGTTCCCGTTATTATACTACAGGGGCTAGGTTAACCACGGGGTTTACTACTAATTATACTACTAGTAGTTGTTTTTATAATATTTAAAGTTATTTTATAAGTCTTTATATAGTAGTAGCTTATTATTATATAAGGTTTTTTAAGTTTGTAAGTTTTACTAGGGTGGCGTTTTTTTATTATATTATAGTAGGGTTTTTATAAGTTTTATTAGGGTTAATGTTTTATATTTAGTTAACTATTGTATTTTATTACCTATAGGTCTAAGGTAACTGTCTAAATAAGAGTTGTTATTATATAATAAACTAGGGCCTATGGGTTAGCTATTCCTAAGGGATAAACCTTAGAATAGTTCTATAGTTTATATTAGCAGAGTAATTAAGTTAGTAAATAGGTAATCTTATCACCAGCTAATAATATAAATAAAAGTAAATATCTAAGTTTTAATTTAATTATATTATAAACGCTGTATTAATAATAACTAGCTATTTAAGTATTCTAATAAGTAATATAAAGTAAACTTATATATCCGGTTAACCTAGATTAGATTAATNTATAGAATATTAATCCTTCCCTGGATTAATAGATAGTTTATTAATCCGCTGTTAGATTAAGAAGTTATATCTTAATCCTTCCTTAATTAGTTAAAGGATTAAAGTTAATTTAGTCTAGGCCGACCTATTGGCCCGTTGTTGTAACCTTAAGAGTCGGGTTGTAACAATTATATTAATGTTTTTTACTTTATATTTTTTTTCTTTTCCTTTAATAATAATTTTATCCTAAATAAATTTTTTAATTTCTTTATTAATTTATGCTTTTTTTAATAAGGAGATATAAAATATTAAATATATATGTTTTCTTTGTTTTTCTTATTGTTTTGGAAGTTTAAGTTTATAGTTTACTTCTCTGATTTTTCTTAAAATTTTATAAAGTCTAAGTTTCTTAAAATTAAGTTTATTACTTAGCTTATTTATTTTAATATTTACTTACTTATTTTTTTATATATATTAGTAGAGCTAAACTATATTTTTTTTCTAAAGAATTAATCCTTTAATCCTGTTTTTATTTACGTATTTGATTATCCTTTATTAAATAAATTTAAGTTATTATTATAGTTTATTATATAATTTAATTATATCCTCTGCTTTAATTATAGCTTTTTTAATATTTTCCCCTTGCTTTAGTAGTCAGTAGGGTTTAGATTTAAATCTATAGTTTAAGAAAAACGGTGATTTCTTAGTTAATTTAGATTTTATACTATTATATATAAGTTATATAACGAAAAGAAGTTTTACTTAGTTATTTTACTTAAAATTAATATAATAGCGTAAATAGGTTTTAATTATTTAGTTAATTTTTTCCATTTATTTATTTATTTATAAGTAGTAGGCTGTACTAGCTTTATAATTTATTCTTAGTCTGGCTGTAAGTGCTTTTTAGAATTTAAATATAAATGTATTTCCTTTATTAAAGATTATATCTTTTAATAGTCTATAGTTACTTATAACGTATTTTATTATTATGTAAGCTAATTCTTCTGTATTACTGGCTTTTTTAACTAGTATAAAGTAGGTTATTTTCATAAGTTTATTAATTATTATAAGGATGCTGTTATAGAGTATTTTTATAACTAGTTCTCTTAAAGGAGGTAGTTTAGTAATTAAGTTAAATAAGATTAATTCCTATAGTTGCTGTAGTATAAATAATAGTTATAGCTGTCCGTAGGGTTTATGCTTAAAGCTTTTAGCTTATTTATATATTATATATTTTAATATAACCTTTTATATTTATTTTTTAATATTTTTAAATTTAAAGTATTATATAATTTATTATATAGTTTTTTTAATTTTACAATATTTATTAAGCTTATGTACGTAGACTAATTTTATTACTTTACTTTATAAGTTTTTTAATACCTAGATAAGTCTATTTAATATTAGGTATTTAATATTTATAAAAATATTTTCTAAGTATTATTTATTTTCTTAG